AGCCGCTCCTGCCGCTATGCCCGGCATGTCGGTCTCAATGCAAGAGGTGGAAAGTGCCCAGAAAGCGTGGGGAGATGCGATCAAAAACATTTCAAGGACCGGAATCCGAACCGTAAGCTCTGAGCCCAATCCGCAGTGTAAGAAACTATCGAAAGTACACAAGATGCCTGTCAGAGTTCAAAGCTCCAGGACCTACTTGGACGGCGGGGATTATGTGGCAGTGGCCGCAAGTGCAGCCGGTGATCTTTATGGTTATGGCCACGGAAATGTACTTTTCAAGCCAACGAAAGCTTCGGATGTTCAATTCCGGCCTGAGGCGGATCAGGCCATGTCCTACTTCGTAGGCGCCGACGCAGTAGCAGGTGGAATTTCCGAGGACCACGGCTTTGCAATCAATGGCGGCAAGGGTTGGTCAGATGTGACCTTCAACAACCACCAGATCGACTTGAACGGGAATGTTGCCATTGCGATGGGCAACTATAGCTTTACTTCCGCTTCAGACGGCAGCATCAGCAAGGTGGAATACACTTTCGGTTACAAGAAGTGCCAGGATATCGGGAGTCCCTGAAAACACAACGTGGTTTTCAAGTTGCTTCAGCTACGAGCTGCGTTGCCTTTCGACATCAGTAGCACAATCGTATCAAGATAGATAGAGGAGCCCTTGAGACATACCAAGGGGCACCAGATTATGATAGTAAATGCTGGGCAAGTGTCGAACATGATCGTGAGGTAAATTAGCCAGGAGAGAACCGGAGACAACAGCAACTGCCAAGAAACAGCAGGACATAGAGGAGCATGCCAAGAAGCAGCCACGAATTATCAGGAAATGCAAAAGTTAAACTCAGGTTCAATCGTAGAATGACCGCGCATGGAAGAAACGTCAGGAAACACGGGTACATTCCCATGACAACAACACCCCATGTAACACAGGACAACGTAGGAGCTGCCAGGTTGCTACTATGAAGCAGGAATCACTGAAGCTGCAAGGCGTGTTTCTGAAACCACAGGTTTTCTAGTTGCTGAGTTTGTGCACTAAACACTAAACTTTACTGCTAGAGAAGGAAAGGGGGAGAGTGGTGGCTGCGGAGCAAGGCGTTGGTCATCTAAGAGACTTCCTGACACGCCCCCCTAAATGGACTCTGATGCCAGGATGGCAAAGTGCGCATTTGCCTTCACCATTCATCAGTTCCATACCAGGGAGCCGGCATGTCAGTCTCAATGGAAGAGGTGAAAGCCGCCCAGAGAGCATGGGCAGATGCGATCAAAAACATTTCGAAGGCATATTTGGATGGGGACGATTATGTGGCAGTGGCCACTCGTGCAGCCGGTGAACTCTATGGTTATGGCCACGGAAATGTGCTTTTCAAGCCGACCAAGGCAAAGGACATGCAGTTCCGCCCGGAAGCAAGCCAGGCGTTGTCCTACTTCGTAGGTGCCGACGCTGTGACGGGTGGCATTTCCGAGGACCACGGCTTTGCGATCAATGGCGGCAAGGGTTGGTCAGATGTGCTGTTTGACAACCACCAGATCGACGTGAATGGGAATGTTGCCATTGCCATGGGGAACTACTTCTTTGCCTCTGCCGAGGATGGAAGCATCAGCAAGGTGGAATATACTTTCGGTTACAAGAAGTGCCAGGACATCGGGGTCCCCTGAAAAAGCAGGGTCGTGAGGGGTTTCTGCAGAGGTTCTTGTCGCCAATTCTGTTTTTTCATCCCTGTCAGGATGGTCAGGTGCGCATTTGTCTCCACCACTCATCATTGCCTTATCAGGGTGCTCCAACACCCGAGGCGCTGAAACTGCATGGATGAGCTCCATTTCTGCTACCGGCAAGAATGCAGTGCGCTAGGTGTCGGTGGTACAGGGCACTCGGTGGCACTAGATAGGTCGTATGCCGTGACAAAGAGTCAGGCATGCGGAGTGAGGAAAGGTTTGGAGTTGTTGCTGTCAGATGGCTTATTCAAGCTCGCAGCGACACAGTGCATCACGACTCCAGATTCCTTTGGCCAGTCGGCATTTGTAAGAGCAGAGCTCAATCGCATGCCAAAGGCCAACATTTCCTCCTGATGTTTCGATTAATGAAGCCACAGTTGGAACTGTGCGTGCCTGTATATTCAACTTTGTATGAACGTCTGTATGAGTCAAAAACATCTTGCATACATGTATATGTATATGTATATGTATGTATGTATATATATATATACATATATATATATATATGTATGAATGCTCACGTCGATGCATGATATATAAAATGCATAAGGCAAATAGCGCTGAGAAGACTTTCTACCGACGGGGAATCGCAATCAGCAGACGAAACAGATAAGCGAATCAGTCGTTCAACAATATATCGAACTGAATAGCAAGCCCTAATGAGTAAGTTACAGGAATATCCGAATATGTATATGATATGTTCAGAAGGTTTGACGGGTATATATGTGGATGTCACGTGTATATGTATATGTGTGAATATGTATGCGGGTTGATTATAAATACATAAGTACACGTGTTGGTGTGAGTATATATTACATATGCATGTACACATGTGCATACATGTACACATCATATTAGCATACATTTACACATGTAGATGTGTGTACAGGTATGTTTAAATAGAGATGTATGTGCACATATGTATATATACGCTTATAGGTCTGCGTGTATGTGTGTATAGGTATGTATATGCATAATAGTACATCTGTGTTTATGTATGTGTGTATTTGTGTATGTATCTATATCTGTATGTAGGTGTCTACACGTATGCATTATTTATGTGTTTGAATACTGATGTGTGTGAGTACATATATGTATATGTATATGCGCATGTATGTGTGTCTGTGTATCTATGTGCATATCGGCCCATATCTGTGTAGGTATCCTTTTCTACCTATATACAGGTGTATAAGACTGTACATATTTGTATATATATATACACTATATTTATATGTATGTGTTTGCATGCCAAGGCAGTAGTATGGATTTATGTACCTATTTATGTACGGTATGTATGCACGTATGTATGTAAGTATGTATGCCAATGTATGCATATATGCATGTATGTATGTATGCATGCCTGTATGTATGTATGTATGTATGTATGTATGTATGTATGTATGTATGTATGTATGTAGGTGTGTTTTTTTTTGTGTTGTGTTGTTATGTTGAGTTGTGTTGCGTTGCATTGCGTTGCGTTGCGTTGCGTTGTGTTGAGTTGTGTGTGTCTGTCTGTCTGTCTGTCTGTCTGTCTGTCTGCCTGTCTGTCTGTCTGTCTGTCTTTCTGTATGTATGTGTAGTATGTATGTGTGTATGTACATATGTATGCATGTATGTATGTATGTATGTATGTATGTATGTATGTATGTAGGTATCCGTGCGTGTACTTGCCTGATTTTATAAAAATGTGGATATGGGTAGGCGCAGAGTTACACCGGTACACCAGCGCCGAAGTATGCCGTCTCACATGACTCCGACCGTGGCTTTCACCGTCAGGAAGCAACAACTTGAGGCGAAACGGGCTTCATCCTGGCGTACTGCCGCCGAACTTGCCATTGATTCAATTTTCCTGAGTCTCGGTCTCACAGCTATTGGTGCGGGTGGATAAAATACAGCGTGCAGCAAAATCAGCGGAATTGTCATTTGGCGGTCTGTGCCCTCGGACGATGAAGTGGACTGCTTGTGGCCAAAGTAAGCATCAAAGCATGAGAATTCGACTGAGAAACCGCCGGCCATTCAGCCGCCTCAAGCAAGCCAGTAAAGGGCAAGTGTTCCAAACTGCCTTTGCATCGTGTCGATTGCCGTGGCTGCTATATTCTGTTTGTTGAGTTGATGTTGCGTACGCACTGATTCCAGGACACGTCCGCGCATCATTATGCTACCTTGCGGCATGGCGGTGCAGCTCTCTTGAGGAGACCGGGGTGCGGACTAAAGCCATGTCTCCGACGTCGGCGGCTGGCTCGTGGTTCTGTCCTTGCTACAGGCAGAGAGGGAGGCCGGTGTTGCCCTTCTGCCTCTGCTGTTTGTTCATCTGCCGTCGCCCTAGGAGAGGAGACTTCGATTGTTGGGAGTCACAGCGGAAACTCCAAGGCCCTGGCAGTCTAGTCTCCCACTAGCGAACCAACACAAGGCTCTCCCAACGGTCGCTGAAATCAAACGGCTTGCATGCTGTCTTTCGTAGAGGGTCTGTCACTCAAAGCTGTAGTTCCCTCTCTCGTGGAGATTCCTGGAGTCGTGACGAACTTGGCGAGTAGGTTGCGGTTGTAGGTCATGTACTGAAGGACAAGATACGACCACACTTTGGGCTTAAACCTCCCGACCCTGGCAAGGAATTAGCAAATGACCGTCAGCAAGAAGCGCCGAAGCCCCGAGTATCTTGAGCAACCCGTCCAGGTGAGTGGAGACAGGCCAGGACTTCAAGTCCTTGCGAGTTTGCTCGCGTCGAGACTTGGGTTGGGCTCACTTGAGCATCACCCCCTTGAAGTGCAAGTGTCCATGCACTTCGTGGTGCGGTGCATGCAGTGCAGGCATCGTGTTTCGCAACGGACATTCGAGCGCGGTGCTTCCGTGCAGAGCACCAGATTCCAAGCACCGCCATAGCAAGGCTTCGACTTCGGCTCATTTCCCTGCGTGAGTTGCGTGTGCGTGCAGTCGCCTTCTTGGACTTCACCGGCTTTTTCCGGGGCCTCTCTGCGAGATGCGACATGCCTTCACAGGAGGCACAGCTTCGCTTTGGAGCTTTCTATTTTTCTCCAGCATCCAAAATCACGCGGCAGCCCATGCTGCTTCCCACCGCCACCATCGCACCGCGGGGGAAGAGCTTCTCTGCCTCAGTTTGGTGGTTGCTCTGCTGCATAATGCTGGCGAATCGCCTCGCTCGACTCCAGACCACCGCTCCTTGGAAAGCTGACTGAGTTCCCTGACTTCATCAAGATTGCAGGCCTTGAAGCCTTGAACTTGTTGAGTTCGGTTCCTCTTGGTCCACACATACAGGGCAACTACTTATCCATGTTGCGACGACGACTGTCCCGACCAGCAGACTTTCCAGCCAGTTTGGAACAGCGTGAGCATTGCCAGTCTCCGGCTGATTGTGCTCTTGTGCGCTCTCGGACTTCTCGCTTGTGCCTTCGACGTGGCATCTGGCGCAGCCAGCTTACCCGTGGTCTTTGCTTTCCAGGGCCGCTTCGCTCACAACACGGTCATGCTGCTGGCATTTCGAGCCACTCTGTCTGCCGTCGGAGCTGCTTGCTCGCCTCGTCGACAAGCGTGCCCATTATAAACGCTCTCATTCGGTGTGTCTGGTGCAGCATGCTTGTGAAAGCCACCTGTGCAGGAGCCCATGCGCGAACCGCGACAGAAGTGCCCCCGCGCTCCTCGACGCTGCTGACTTCAAAGCTGACGGCTTGCAGCTTCTCGTGTGCACTGCATGTCGGCCCCGCTTCCATCCTGCTACGACCGCACGTTTTGGTGGTGCCGTCCTTTTGTGCATCAATCAATGCTTCCGGCTGGCCTCGAAGCGGCGTTGTCGTGGCGAGGATGCAGCAGAGTCAGCAGCTGCACCTCTTTTCGAGTCTCCCATGGTGTGAGCTCCGCCTGTGGTGCACTTGGCGCGCATTCTGTGCCCGTGAGAACTGCCTGGTTGCATGGTTCGGCAAAGTAGCCTTCGGATGCAGCATTCTTTCTCTGCGCTCGACTTCGCCGCCTTCTTTCGGGGCTCCACGCTTCCATGCTGCAGCTGCCCACGTCGCCGCCCACAGAGATTCCTAGCGAAAGATGCCACACAGCGATGCTTGCGGCCTGCTTTGTCGCCGTTACCTTGTCAATGCTCAGTTTGATTGCGCATGTTGCGTCTACTTCAGACGGTAGAGCAATGTGCTAATGTAGACTGCATTGAACTCTGCGGTTAACTCTGAGATCAGAGGGCACCTGGCCCAGCCGAAGCTGGCGCCCGCATGCGCCCGCACGGGAGCAGGGCCCAACAAAACTGGCAGCGGGTGGCAGCTACGGCAGTTGCGCCGTTGACAGCGCCCGTCTCAGAGCACAGCCACTGGTTTCAAGCAGGACCTTGGGCCGAGCGTTTTTTCACGACGTCCGGTAGATTCCTAAGTCTATAGACCCTCAGCCCGACTCTAGTTAGTTTTCCTGCCATGCCCAGGCCGCTACCTTGAAAAGGACTCCAAGGATCCGTGTATGGGGCTAGGATTCGGGGTTTAGGTGGTCACCGCCCAACTCCCAAGCACCAGAATAGGAAGCTCTGCGTTTGTGTTCTGTTTAACTTGATCCTTCAACTTGTCAGCAAGGGTTTTTGCTCGTCGACTCGTTTTCGAAAATCGGAGTGTTTTTATGTAAGGAGCAGCACATCCGATCGTGCTCTAAGTCCTCGAGGCATTCGGCATCGCTTTTGCCTGCAGTGACGCTTCGGTTTTGACGCAACTGTGTGGTACAGCATGGCGCCACAATGCACTACATTTAACGCGTGGCAGCGCACGTGCTAATCTCCTTCGTGCCGAGTCATACAGTGGCCCAGCCGAGTGTCAGGCGGCAGGGTTTCGTAAGACAAAATCTTTTCACAGGGCTTTGGTTCCGTTGAATGTGTATTTGTAGCGTGTGCGCTTGTAGAATGTAGACTACCCGAAGCATCCGCGGCGCGTCTATATCATTGAGTGATCTGGGGTTGTAAGTGCAGTGTAGGCGCTCTCTACACACCCGGCTAGCAGTAGGGGTGCATCCGAGCAGGGCCTCGAAAAAAGTCCCCTATCTCGCACCTTTGCAAAAGCTTGGAGTGCTCGCGTTCTTCGTCCTGCTGCAGCACAGCTAAAGCCGAATTGAAGCTGCCACGACCGTCCTCCGTGACATGTACGGCCACGCTCTGCGCAGCGTAGCTTCGAGTTCGTGAGCATGCATTGAGCATGGTTGCGGTATTGTTGCGATCTGATTTCATTGCCTGCTTCTTAACCGGTCTTGCACTGCAGGCGCCTTGCGCAGTGAGGCTTTCAAAGCCTGCCTATAATATAGATGCCCGAAGACGTCTCAAGGGAAGTGCTGGCAGGTCCCTGTACGCTGCCGTCCTTACTTCCGAATCAGCGCGATTACGGTTACGCGTTGTTGCTTCGGTGGCTGGTGATGCTGGTGCGAGTGAGCTGCTGCCGTGTGTATGCTCCAGGGCTTTCTGCAGCCTGGCACTGCAATGTTCTTTCGTTTGGATTTTAACTTCATGTGGTTTCTGCTTTCCAGGGCAGCTGCGCTTCCACGCCGCTCAAGCTGCTGGAGCTGCCATCGATCATTTGTGAAAGCCACCTGTTCACCAGGGCCGCTTCGCTCCCACCGCGGTCATGCTGCTGGCATTTCGAGCCAACCTGCCGTCGGCTGCCCGCCTCGGCAAGCGTGCCCAGTGTAAACGCTCTCGTCGGCTGCACGCTCCTGCTTCGTTGTGTCTGGTGTAGCATGCTTGCGAAAGTGACCTGTGCAGGAGCCCATGCGCGAACCGCCACAGAAGTGCCCCCGCGCTCCTCGACGCTGCTGACTTCAAAGCTGACGGCTTGCAGCTTCTCGTGTGCACTGCATGTCGGCCCCGCTTCCATCCTGCTACGACCGCACGTTTTGGTGGTGCCGTCCTTTTGTGCATCAATCAATGCTTCCGGCTGGCCTCGAAGCGGCGTGGTCGTGGCGAGGATGCAGCAGAGTCAGCAGTTGCACCTCTTTTCGAGTCTCCCATGGTGTGAGCTCCTCCTGAGGTGCACTTGGCGCTGCATTCTGTGCCAGTGAGAACTGCCTGATCGCATGTTTCGGCAATTAAATTAGCCTTCGGATGCAGCACGCTTTCTCTGCCCCCTTCTTTCGGGGCGTCCACGCTTCCATGCTGTAGCTACCTCTGCAGTCGCCGCCCGCAGATGCGCACCGGCAGGCGTCGCATAGAAACGATACCGACTTGTCTTGTCGACACTTCCGTTTGCGGCAGCGTTCCTCTTGAAAGCTATTGCTCCTGCTTCGGTGCACTTGCCGCAGCCCCATGCAAGCGGTCGCACTTATGCCGATCGCATGCGACTCTTACGACATGTTTCTCCTGCATGTTTCAACTTCCATGCTGTCCTGCCGAGGTCTCGTGAGGCAATCCGCTCAGCACAGATTCCGGCCTGCCACAACAAGGATGCTCCCGGCTGAGTGAATCGGACGGACAAAGTTTGACTTGAAGTTGCCTCTTCAGAGTAGCGGAGCCTGGTTGGTGCTCGTCAGGAGGGCCAGGCAGCGCAAGAGCAGAAGTTGTGACATGTTTGTGCCTGCTCAGAGCATTCGCATTCTCTTGGCTAGTTTCATTGAGCTTCAGCTTTAATTCCAGGTCGGTTGAAAAAGTCCGTTGCGAGAGTCGGCGTTTCAAGGGCTGATGCTACTCGTAGGCTTCTGAGAGCTTGCAGATCCCAGCAGGTCACGGCAGTGCTTGGAGAACTGTATCGCTTGCACTGTGTGGCAGTACGTGTGTTTGTTGATGGACCAACTGCCATGAGTAAGGTGTTTATGAGCACGAAGGTTATACTGAGGTGCAGATAAAAAGTTTGCAGTCGAGACAGGGGAAACGTAGCTTTGGGTCGTCCGATTATCATGCATGGTTCCCCTCGCTAGCAGCTGCACATTGGCCCGAGGGACTCAGGAGTCATCATGGGCCTAAGGCCTAAGTCGCATGAAGCAACCATCAACCGCTCGATTCATATTTGTGTGTTGGCTCAAGCGCGCCTTTCGCACGAACCACAGTCGCCGATCGCCAACCTGGACGCTCATCAGACGATGCCTCCTGGCCAAATAGTAAATCACATGCATGCCATAGCATACCATGGCCTACAACGGTCAAGAATCACGATGCGCGTCGTCTGAAAGTCTGAGAAGTACCCTTCACCTGATATTAGCAGAGAGGCGAGCTTATGATACAACCTGAACGTGTAGCGTTCCAGCTCAGAAGAAGAGAGAAAGGATGATCAGGACCTTGTTGCGTTGGCATTGTGTTCACACGCGCATTTACCTCGCTGTCCCGAATGCATAAGGATGGCCCCACAAAAATCTGAAAGGAAGCCCGAGCCCAGGTCAACTACTGTCAAAGTCCTGGGTGCCCTTGGCTTGATGACAACCCTTGGTCTCGGCTTCGTGGCACCGCGCCCAACAGCGCAGAAGCCACATCCCTTGTCTCATGCCACACTGGATGCAAGAGTGCAAAGTGCGAGCATCACAACAGGCCCGGGTCAAGTCTTGTTGTGGGAGTTTTAAGAGGAGGCATGTCAATGTATTGTCACGCATTTTTTAGCACCTTGCGTGCCAGGCTCTACTGCCATGTATGGTGTTGCGGTCCTGGCTACTGCAGCAGCTGGACTCTTGGCCCGTGCCAAGCGCTCCAGAATTGCCGCACGGGCGCAGCCGTCGCACGGCAGAAAGTTCGAGTACTCCATGCAAAAGGATGCACATGCCGATTACGAGTTCATCAATGAGGTCGGTTGCTTGGACAGTCTTGGGATTGATGAACAGCGTCGGAGCATGTAATCTTTTCGAACATTGGTTTAGCGGTGATGAGCTCCTTGGGTTGAGTCTTGG